TAGCCAATTACAAAAACACACACACACACACACGTTCTGGCTCCGTCAGTCACATAGGAGGCCCCTCTGGAAGGTCCCTGCAGCAAGCCAACTTTTGGCTACCAGAACCAGCCCCGCCTTTCTCACTGCTTGCGATGTTGATTTCGCTTTTGCCTTTGGGGCCATGGCAACCAAAACAAAGCCTCACTTCCTTTGCTCTTCCAGCTGTGAGCCAGGCAAACCCGCCCCAGCGCATACTTCCAGCAAGACCAGGAACCTTGTTTTGGTGGGTTCATTGTAAAACTGCGCGCGCAGAGAGTTCACTTAGCACCACGCCACAGCGAGAGATTTTGCGCGAGCCTGCGCAGTCCAAACGCACTTCGGCAGCACACAACATCACGATTTTGCGGTAAAACCCACTCCCGCGCAAACTCGGGGGCCTCATTTTGCGCGAGCCGGCGCATTCGAAACGCACTTCAAAGGCTTCGACATCATACAACATCACGATTTTGCGGTAAACACCACGCAAGGTGCTTCCGGACAAACTGGAGGCTGAATTTTGTGCCGCAGGCTGTCACGCACTTTGGCACCGACGTGGTGCAAAACAATATCCACAGCAGCTGGTCTTGTCTCCCAGGCGGCCCCCCGCAGAATCCACAGCTGTGAAAACTGCCACATTGGCCGTTCCGGCGGCGAGGCGGCCCATAGCAAAATCCGAAGCAAGTAACTAGCCTGGCTTGCAAGGAACCTTTGCGTTAAGGCATGTTGCACTGCTCCTATCTTGAACCCAAACCAGACCACCCAAAAGAACAAAGCAAGTCCGAAGCGGCCGCAGTTCTTTTAACCGGGATTGCTGAAAGTAGCACTGCTTCCAGGGCATGGATGCGCTTGGAGCAGGAGGTGCGTTGACCCCCTTTCAAAAGAAACAGATCCAGTTTGGGTCAAGGCTAGGAGCAAAACGGCCACCGCGGAAGTAGATTCACAACACGCCCTAAACACAAGGGAAAAGAAAACCTTAAGCGGCCGAAGGGAAGCAAAACTGACGTACGCCAGCTTCGTGGCTGAAAAAGCCAAGAACTGGTGCTTGCGGCTTTTGTTGTGGCTGAAGGGCATCAAATCTGGACGCCTGCGGCCTTGGTGTGGCTGAAGGGAAGCAAATGGTGGGAACTGGCGCCTGCAGCGTTCGGCGTGGCTGAAGGGAAAGACAGGGAACTGGCGCTTGCAAGGACCTGGTGGAACTGCCTGAAACTGAACTGCAGGGGCCCTACCAACTCTGCAGCCAACTGGGGGTGCAAAGGTGCAAACGCAAAAGCGTAGAAAAGAAATACTTCTTCTTCTTTTTCCACGCTTTCAAGTTTGCACCTTTGCACCTCCGATTTTCTGCAATGTACCCGGCTGCCTAAAGGGCTTGGAAGGAAGCAAATCTTAACAGACCTGGCGTTTGCTTCTGAAGGGGTGGCTGAAGGGAAGCAAATCTCCGGGAACTGGCGCCTGCTTCTCAGCCCAAGGCTGACGCCACCAGTTCCTGCCCAGATTTGCTTCCCTTCAGCTACGGCTGAAGGCAGCAGTTCCTGCCCAGATTTGCTTCCCTTCGGCTGCGGCTCAAGCCGCCAGATCCTGTCCAGATTCGCTTGCCTTCAGGCACGGCTGAAGGTAGCAGTTCGTGCCCAAAAAATTTTTGCTGCGGCTAAAGGCAGTAGTTCCTGCCCAGATTTGCTTCCCTTCAGCTACGGCTGAAGCCGCCAGATCCTGTCCAGATTCGCTTGCCTTCAGGCACGGCTGAAGGTAGCAGTTCGTGCCCAATTTTTTTTTGCTGCGGCTAAAGGCAGTAGTTCCTGCCCAGATTTGCTTCCCTACAGCTACGGCTGAAGCCGCCAGATCCTGTCCAGATTCGCTTGCCTTCAGGCACGGCTGAAGGTAGCAGTTCGTGCCCAATTTTTTTTTGCTGCGGCTAAAGGCAGTAGTTCCTGCCCAGATTTGCTTCCCTTCAGCTACGGCTGAAGCCGCCAGATCGTTTGCCTTCAGGTATGGCTGAAGGTAGCAGTTCCTGCCCAGATTTGCTTGCCTTCAGGTACGTCCGGATTTGCTTCCTTTCAGCTACGGCTGAAGCCACTAGTTCCTGTCCAGATTTGCTTCCCTTCGGCCGGCCGCAGCCACCAGTTTCCATCCACATGTTTCCCTTCAGCCGTGCCGGTTCCTTCAAGAAATGTTTCTCTTCAGCCACGCCAGGCCCACGGGCCAGTTCCCACCAGTTCCTGTCTAGGTTTGCTGCCCTTCAGCCACACCAAAAGTCCCAGTTCCTGTCTAGATTTGCGTCCCTTCAGGCCACCAGCCGCCAGTTTCCCAGCTGCAAATCTGAAAAAAAAAAAAAGCTGTCACCCGCATGCCTGCTAGCTCCCAGCCGTCAATCCCACCAGCAGCACAAACAGTGCCCCAAACAGCACCCTCACCAGCACCGCCAACTGCAAACCAGGCCATTCTGGGCCAAAACAAAAACTGAGGTTTCAACACATATTTCCAAACGGTTTCTCCCCAAAACAAACTAAGCAAAGGGGTTCCTCAAACGTGCGATAAAAGGCAACGCGTTTCCGCACACACTTGGCCTTCAATGACCACGCAGCCAAAAAACTAAAATCGATCACAGTAGCGAGATCCCTCGCGACGCACACAAACACGCAGTCACACACAAATGGCCGTAAACGGCCACACAACCAAGACCCAAAAGTTTTAACAAGCAACATCTGTCGGGCCCGGGGGGGAATCTGCAGCTCTGCAGCGTCCAAACGCGGACAAGCAACATCTGTCGGGCCCGGGGGGGAATCTGCAGCTCTGCAGCGTCCAAACGCGGAAAAAAAACATTTCTCGAACAATCCCCTCCGGCAATAAGACCTGAATTGCAAACTCCAAGGTCTGCTTTTCTGCCACCAGTGCTTTTGCCGCTGATTTTCCAATTCCGGTTCTGCGTGCACCATTAGGGTTTGCTGTCCTTCAAAACAACCACAAAATTATTCAAAGTGCAGTATCCGCAATTGGCTGCTGCACAACTGCAACGCCAGCAGCGATTGGAGGTCAGGCTTGATTGCTCCAAAACACTCCGTTCACCTGCCAGAGCTTGTTGACCAACTGCGCAGCATGAGCCGTGACATCGACAAGTTGCTCAAGCGCAGTCTCCGTAAATGGCTACTGCACAACTGCAATGCGAAGAATGATTGGCGGTCAGGCTTGCTTGTTCCAAAACATTCCATTCACCTGCGAGAGCTCAGCATGAAGCGTGACATTGCCACTGGGCTCCAAGAATAGGACACCACCGATAATGCAGCACGCTCTCAGCAAGGCACTTTGAATGCGGTTGAAATTCGACAGACGTCAAAGAATTTGCATGTAATTGAAATCGCGCCCTTTCAGGCGCACATCGCCCGCATCAAACAAATGTTTCCTTAGCAGATATGGATGAACATGTCACAAAGTCTGCCCCACTTTCATTTGCGTCATGTTCTTCATTTGGACAGAAGGGATTTTCAAGCTCTTGCGCACGCACACACGAGCACGCGCGCGCCACGCACGCAAGCACACCACGCACACGCGCAAGCACACGCGCAAGCACACGCGCTCTCACGCAGCCGAAAGCAAAAAGAGTAGAGCCAAAAAACATGGCAAACAAAAGGAAGCATTATCCCTGGTGCAGTCGTTGGAACGCTTGAGCGAAATTACAAGTCAGGGCAAAAACCCTGAAACAAAAGAGAGACCTGCTCCAGATCTCAAACTTCAAGAAAAGGAGGGTGTCTCACACCCACAAACCGGTCAGCGAGTAAGGAAACAGGCCCTAGTGCCACACGGGCACCCCCAACAAAAAGGGAATTCCAAAACAACTAATTACGAAGCTCATCACTCGTGTAAACACCACAACCAAGCAACGCCTCAAACCAAGAAGCCTCACAGTCAAACCCGAACGCGCTTGGAGCAAGGCCAGTGACAACAACAGCATGGCTGGGCGCCGCACTCCATTTACAGTGGAAGCTTGCCTCACACCTGCCAACGGCAGCAAAGCATGGACACGCTCCACGACGCCATGTTGCAACTGACCCGCGCAGGCCAACCACTGCGGCACTTTTTTCCATTTGGGCGTACTTGCCTCAGATCCGGCACGCCCTATCCTACCTACGCAGACGGCTGCTTCCGCTTCAGAGGAGTGACTGCCAAAGGCCCGCGCCGGGAATGGGCAACTTGCACCGCCACTTCCTCACCCTTGTTCTCGCGCGCTGGACCTTGAAACGCAAGAGCAAAGGCTTCATCCCCTGCAGACCCCGCTGGCTCTGGCGAAGGTGGAGGCGGGTAAGGGGGAGTGAAAGGCGCACTTGGAAGAACTTCATCTTCTGCATCCCCCATGTTGGCGACTGGCTCTGGCGAAGGTGGAGGCAGACCAGGCGGAGTGAAAGGGACAGGCAGAGAATGCTCCCTGGCAGCAGGAGCATCTTCCATCACTTGTGCGGGCATTGCCACCCAAGCCATGGCGTTCTCCATGGCCCGTACCTCGTCATCAACTCCGACGTTCTCCTCAATATACCTTGCGCAATGCTCCTCAATCCACCGGGCATAACACCCAATACAACCATAGCACAGCTTGAGCATGGGGTCCCGCATGCTGCTGGGCAATGGCACGCGCAGGTGCCAGCGCAAGCCAAACCTATTGTTGAAGGCCAGTCGTTCTGCTTCATCAGGCTCGCCCTTGGCCGTCTTTGGCACTACTTTGCCCTGGCTGGTGATGATGAATGGTGGAGGATGGTGCACAATTACTGGAGCTCCGCCCTTCACAGCTGCTGACACGCTTTCGCCCTCCAGCAACAGCAGCAAGGTATCCCATGGGATGGGGCTGGTCGCAAGCCTCCAATCCTGCCACACCCCCACAAGGTGTTGCTCCAGTCCTTGCAACGGAAAGGTGTCGCCACGGTTTGGTCGGAGAAAAGTCCGATCGCCAAAGATGTGAATCAGTGGCCGTGTCAGCCCAGTCTTTCCGGCATTGCTCTCGCCGTAAAGAAACACGCACCAATTTCTTGACGCAGAAGGCCCATCTTCCTGGGTCTTTTTGGTGGTGGTCCATCAGAGAGCTCAAGGCTTGCGACAAGCGCTGTGGCGTAGGGCAAGCGCAGGGAGCCTGCACTGCTGCGTTCCACAGCTGCAATCGCTTCTCCCGCTGCAGGTAGTCAGACATGGGTTTGGCCATCAGGGCCTGCCAGCTGCCAAACAAAGCAGGCATTTTCGGCCCCTGGCGCGCCATGAACTGCTCAAACCAGGGGTCACCATGTTCCTGCGCCCAAGCCACCAGATCTTGGTACGAGGAAATTCGGGCACCTAGCCTTCTGATGGTGTTGTACATGTCGCTTGGGCGAAACGCTGTTTGGAAGAACTTCTTCATGCGTGTTTCCATCTCGGTCAATGGGAATCGCGACGAAAAGTACGGGTCCGGGCCCAGATCCGCCTGACAGGGCGGGCAAGTTTCAGAGAAGGCAAACATGCCACACTTAGGTTGTTCGACATCGCGCCTGGCCCTTGCGAAGCGAAGGGGCCACAAGGTACCGGAGGCAACGCCAGAAGTCCGCGTTCAGCTGCGGCAAAGCCAAATGGCCGAAGAAGCCACGCCCCCGCAACTTAGCTGCAAGCAGCTTCCATTTCACACGGCGGGTGAGCTTCAGGATGGCGTGCCAATGCATCCTCCGTTCCCAGCCACGTCGGGAACTGGGGTGGGTTTCGGTGACAATGCAATAGTGGGCCAAGGAGTCGCCATACACCTCCTTCAACGCACGAGCAAACACTTTCTTGCTGCTCGAAGTTGCAGTGATGGCCTCGGCCTTGTCAGAGTGCGGAACTGTCCAAAAGTGCACGGTGGAGCCTGCATACTTGAGCTGACGGGTGGCAGACCTCAAGTCGGGGAACTTGTCAATGGCATCTCCCTGACCTTAGGTTCAGGCTCCACATCTCTGCTTGCGCTGGACGAGTCGCAAGAGTCCGAGGATGACGAAGTACTTGAAGAAGAAGCAGAAGAAGCAGCCGATTCGGCGGCCTTGGCGGAAGAGACACAATCAGGAGGCTTCGCTCCCTTCACCCTAACTTCTGAATCGGCCTTGCTCCCCCATGGCCCCCACAAAATAACAATAATAACGTTGCGTAAGATCAGGCGCCTGTGCGCTGACATCTTTGTTTTGGTGGGGGCGCGGGGGAGGGACAGGGAGGCAGTTGCCCCGCCTGATGCGCGTCTGCCATGGTACCGCTACAGTTGACGCGGGGCAGCTACCAATAGCGGCTGCCCCTCGAGCAAAACTACACGAGCGCACGGACACATACGTGACGCTTGAAGGACAACTCAAGTTGTGGCACACAGCAGCGCAAACAGTAGCGCACCCGTGCCTGGGCGTTGGGCTTGCGGAGGCTAAGGGCGGCCTCTTCACGGCAAGAAAAGCTGCGCGGAACGGGCGCGAAAAAAGCACGCGCTTGGGGGCGCCGCTTCCTGCTTGTGCTCCTGCTGTTTCTACAAGGCGTTTGCGCTTTGACAGCTCCAGCTTAAAAATCGGAACCGTTCAGCGCAAGTGTGGCATGCGAAGGACACGTGTACGGGCTTTTGCGCCCCGTGAACAACAAGCATTGCCATCGCAAAAAAGAAAGCCTGACACGCCCAAGACGCTCACGCCACGTAAAGCAAGCTTTGTGTATAAACGTTCGCTCTCTCTCTCTCTCTAAGGTATCTGATGTTCACAAATACATGCAGAGGCAGCAACAACAAGCAAACCAGTTGCAGAAAGAGTTTTTGCCACACACGTCACACACACGCCACACACAACACCAAACACACACACACACACACACACACTTAGACTCCAGATGGAGGGTTCTAATCTTTCGAGTACAACTGGTAAGTCTCGGCTTGGATAAGGTTCTGCATGAATAAGTTTCGGCTCGCAATGCACTCGGTTTCCCTCTAGTGTCGAAAACGTTACAAGGTTCAACATGAAGCACACACAGCGAGAGAAACAACGGGCCAAAAAGACTTTGCACAACCATTGCAGGTACACAGCTGGACGTCTCCAACTGCTTCACCAGGGTCACAAGAGTGTCTTCGTTGGTGGCAGACTCTCGGCCCTGCTGCCACCCCCTGCAGTGGGAAAAAGTTATTGTATGGCGGCAGGGTTTTCTGCCACTCTGCACACACACAGACACACGCACGCACGCACGCACGCACGCACACACACACACACACACACACACACACGCACACGCACACGCACACGCACACGCACACACACACACACACACACACACACACGCACACGCACACGCACACCCACACACACAACACACACAGACAGAAAACAACACACACACACACACAAACAAACAAACACGCACAAGACACACACACACCAGCAGGTTGGATCACGCTGGCCAGCAGCATTGCCAACTTTTTCCAACGCCTTGATTGCATCAGTTTGCTTGAAACACTGGCATCTGCAGACGCGCCAACAAAACACAACTTACCTGCATCAAGAAGGAAGCAAAAGATTGGAGGGCTTGTAGGTGCACACAAAACACCTGCCTCGGCAGCGTCCACTGCCTCGAGTCTTGCGAGCTCAGGCGCTTTGACGGCCTGAAACAGGTGCGTGCAAATGCGCCGCGCTGTTGCGTGGACACTGCGCACGCAAGCCTGCACAAGTTAAGGCTCATCTGCGGCTGCCTGCCGCCGCGTCGCATCGGCCAAATCCCGAAACATTCTCCATGCGCCAAACATCTTAAGAGCTTAAAGGTCCACGCAATGCCCCTGCCTCAGCAGCTTCTGCTGCCTCAAGAAGCAGGCGGAGGTCTTGAGAGCTCAAGTGCTTCGCAGCCTGCCAAAGTTGCAATAAGCTGTAAGAGCACCCCTGGCCCAGCCTTCAAAACGAGCGCGACGCTTCAGAGCAGTCTTCTCTTTCTTCCGAGCTTCCTTGGCCGCAAGCCGCGCAGTCTCCGCAAGCTCTTGAGCTGGCGATGCAAAAGAGCCTCCCAAGAGACACACCACAGCATGTGGACCGCCACCACTGCGGGCCAGGTTTTTGGGTCCAAACTGCGGCGTTTTTTCAGGACCGGTTAGGGGCCTTCACAGTAGTCCGGAATGCTCAGCCGCTCCGCAAGCTCCTCCGTGGCCGCGCGCGCAATCTCCTCGCACAGCGCAGCAGCTCGCGTGGCTGCTGGCTGACCCTCTCGTACTGCCTCCATCAGCCGCGGCCCGCTGCGCGGCACAGAGGTGCCTGCCGTCCTGCCACGCCTCGCAGCGGCGGTCGGACCTGCACAGGTCGTCTCGGCCCCCGTGCATGTCCACAGCCGCCTGCTTCCTGTTCGGAGTTCTGTAGCGTTCGGTCACTCCACCCAGGGCTCCATGAACGGCCGGGTCTTTAGCAGCCCGGTGGCCGGGTTCTTATGACCCACATAAGCGGGTCAAAGTGCGCAATAATCTCAAGGGCGGAGCACCAGGAGCCGCCGCGGGCGCGTCGTCAGCGCGCGGCTGTAATCCGCAGCTGGGACTACACGACGTTCGCCGGGGCACTTTGACATGGTTTGGGCCAGCGTCTGGTGGGCTCAAATTTCGACACGATGTCCAGGGAGACGACTTCCCAGCCCGCCGCCTCAAGGCCCTGCCCACTGACTTGTGCCAAAAGCTCCAGGACTCTCGGCATTTTTAAGAGCAAGATCACCGCCACTGCGACGACCAAAAACGCGCGTTCATCGGCCGGATTTTTTCTCCGCGAGACAAAAAGCCGAACTTCGCAACTATGAAGCACGTTTCAGACCCGTGCCAAGGGGGGGAAGTTTATGTCCATAACTCCCATCAGGGCGCTGGTGTGCAAGGTGGACGTGGAGGTGCTGTGGGAGTCCGGCACTTCCAGGACAAAAGGGTGACACCGACCTGGAGCTGTGGACGTCATCGACAACATGATCATCTTCCAGAAGTCTTTTCGGGGGCCGCCCGCACCGAGCCAGCAGCGCGCCCGTCAAGTGAAGATCGACTTCTCTCTTGGAGGACTGCCTCTTCTGGGACCCGGCCGGCAACCGCGTGCCGCGCCCCGCGGAGTTTGCGCGTCGCAGGGGCGCGCGCTTGTGGAGGCCCGGCACGCTGATGGCCAGGCAGTGTGCTCTTTGAGGTGCGCCACCTTGCTGGAGCCCTTGGAGGCGCTGTGCTGCCCGTTCTAGGCCTCCAGCAGCTCGGACCCAGACATAGATTTGATGCTTTGAGTCGGAACACATGGTTTGCCAAACTGGTGGCAGAACGGACTGAGCCGGAGCTCGTGCCTGGCCCGCCGGCCAAGGTCGCGAATCAGCTGAACGGCGCGCTGATGGGCCGCCCGGCCCAGGAGTCCAGCACGGCCGGCACTTGGTGTCCCTCTATGATCCTTGCCGCTATGTCTAGGGAGTGCTGGTCACCACCGTTGTCCTTGAAGGCGCTCTGCAGCACGTCCTCCTCGCAGGGCACACGCTCCTTAGGCCCCTCATGCGCTGGCGCAGGAGCGTCTCCATCTCGGTCCCGGAGTTTGACACTGCGTGCTGTCGTTGTCTTGCCCAACTTGCCATTCTTTTTTTACGGGCCCAGTTTTTTTTGTCCGGCCGCGCACTCTCCCCGGGTAAACTTGCCCATCAGAGCGTTTTCGCGGCGGGCGGGCTGGCTTTCAACAAGCCGCTGTTTGCTCAGAAGCAAGCTCTGCGATGGCGACTCTCTCCGAGTGCGAGCGCGAGGCGTGCGAGGCGGCAGCGAACCTGGTGCTGTCTACCGTCCTTCCGCACTCCGTGAGAATGGGGACTCGCGTGCTCGAGACCCTGGACAACATGCGGGAGATACTGTTCTACGACAGCATCGGCTGCAAGCAGGCTCTGCCCATCTTTGAAGAACTTGTCAATGCCGGCCAGGAGCCCGTGGGTGAAGACTACCCCCGACGGAATTGGAGCATTGCCTGGTGGAGTGGTTGGATCGCCGCGCAGCCGCCCCGGACGCTGAAGCCTCAGTCTCCGCGCCAGCCCATTTACCTGAGCGTGAAGAGGAAGGCGAGCGAACGGCCGGAGAGCGACCAGCCGGAGAGCGAGCCGGAGAAGCCGGAGGAAGGAGAGTCTAGGCCGCCTTGATATCTCGGGCCAGCTGAGGCAGGCGGCTCTGGCGTCCTGAGCTGCGGGAGCTTGCCCGGGTCGGCTGGGACTGAGGCAGAGTCACTGGGTGCAGGCCCTAGGAGAAGGGGCGGGGCGTGTGATTGGTCTGCGCCTGGGCTCTGAAGCCAGACTGTGAGGCTGACCAGCGAGACTTGAGGCGCGGCTGCTTAGCGAAAATGAGTGTTGCGCTACATGTAAAGAAGCATGGAGGTAGTCACAGCCGGAGCGCAGGATGAGTTGATGCAGAGCCTGGACTACAAGGCTGACCAGCGGCACCTCGTTCATCGATCAAGATCGCCTTCAGAGTCAGAAACACGGACGCCACCAACCCGCTGGCGCCTGCCACTCCGAACCCCGCCTGTTTCACCCAGAGAATCCAGGTCTGAGAGGCTCCTAGCACTCGTCCCGTTACACGCAGGAAAAGGAACCGGCCGCCTGCGAAGGAAATTCGTAAGTCTATAACTCGCGCGTCGCAGGCGTTGGCTGCAAATGACAAAAACCGGAGTATGGATATAATATATGAATTTGGATAGGGAGGTTTCGGAAGCAT